TCTGGAAGAAAAATTGACAGAAACCTTGAAAAATTTTGAAAAAACCGAAAAAACAGTGAAAACGAGCGAAAAAATTTTAAAAGTTCGAATTCGCGCGCTTTTACTCACCGGGCGGCCTAGAAAAAAACCTCGTCCCTAAAGGCTCTCAGCGTATTTTTTGATGCGTTTTTCTCGATGAAAGAATTTTTTTTGAATTTTTTCTTTATTTTTATGGGAATCTACACAGATTTCTGCATAAAATAAAGCAATAAAAAATTTCACCGCACACCACCTTTAAACTCATTTTTCGTTTAGTAGTCTTGAAAATGTTCAGAAAAACTAGATGATCCCTAACTTTCAACTTTGAGCTAATTTATTTTGGTTCCTATGAAAGATATCAAAAAATAGTCAACTTACAAAATGCTTTTGGTATTCTGATCAGCATTCTATCAGTTGACCACATTTTTGATATCTTTTGCACGAAATCGAGATAAATTGGCAGAGAGTGGAAGATTTGAGGAAATTGTTTTGTTTCCGCATACTGGTCGAAGCATAAGATTCATACGAACTCTAATATACCGATTTCATGAAACTGATAGTTTTCTAAACTATTACAGAAGGACAGTAGTATTTTAATTCGGTTTGCCATTTTTCTTCTGAAAAGCCACATCATCTTTAGAATGCGATGACAACAGTTTTTCTAACTCAAACAATAATTTACTGAAATTTGAAACGAAAATATATCAAAGTGCTCATTAGCCAAAGCTTCACCTGACACTAACAAGCACTATGAAATCACCTGCTCATTGATTTCCATTTTTCACGAACCCAAAACTCATATATCCATAAAACCATGAACGACTCCAATTTATTACCATCTTCTTTATTGTATCAAAATGGAACCGCTTTCGAAGCCTTCACCAGTATTTCTCTAAAGTATACCGTATATATATTTATTCCGCTGCTTTTAATCATTTTTCCGTTTTATGTGTATTTGAATAAGGTCAACCGGGAACGGGATATGACGGTGAATCGATTAGAGTAGTTTAATGTTTAAAATTCAAACATTCAGATGTCGTTGTACCCAATCACAAATGAATTTTTCGAGTTGGTCAAGAAAACGTATTTTCTGTTGTTTTTGGTTTTTGTGGATGTTCTTGGGATTTTTAGTAGTACGGCAATACGCATGTTAGTTGTATAGGGCTTGCCGCGAATCGGCCGACCGCGGCTGGCCGTGGCTGGCCCGCCGTGACCGGCCGACTCAAGGAGTTGAACTCAAGAGACTCAAGAGTTCAACTTCTTAAGAGGCTAAATTTGAACTGAAAAGAATTTTTTTCATGTCCCCCGCTCCTCTAACGTCAAAGTTACATGAAATTTTAAAAAAGATTTTCAGATCACTTATCGGTACCATATCAACAATATGTTTTATTCCAATTTTTCTTTGCCTTCATACCGCAACTCAAGTCATTCAATTACTCATTTCCCTTGTGGCGATTCGAAAATTCCTCATGCACTTTTTCCCAAGCCTCATTCCTAAAATTCTAAATGCTCAGAAAATTTTAATCAACAAAATTTGGATTCTATATCTTCTTCTTTTTATCAATGATATAGTTGGATATGCATATCACATCATTTCTTCAAGAAATATCTACATTTCGGTGAGTATTTTGAGAGTGAGTATTTTAAATTTCTATTTTTCAGTATTTGCTCATCTCCATGAATGGCGTATTATTGATTTCTTCACTCCTGTATTTCCCTGTATTAATAAGTTTATGGTGTAAGAAGAAAGAAGTGGAGGCTAGAAAAAAGAATAAACCTCAAACTCTGATTATCTGGCAGACAGTTATAATTCTAGTTTTCAAAGTTGTAAGTTCGGATTTTTTTGAAATTTCTACAACTTAAATTTTTCAGACAAGCATCACAATGATAATCTTGTCTTTCACCGATAGCAACGTTATTTTCACAGTTGCTACTATAATCATGAGCGACATTATCAGTACGCCACTGATTGTTCAAATTTCCTATTTTTTCAGTAACAGGAAAAGTTTGAAGTTTATGGTTTTGAATTTCAGTCTCGCTAATTTTATTAAAGTTTTATTTAACTGGAAAACAAAGTCAGCAGTGGAGCCCGAGAGGACTAATTTAGAAATGAATAATGTTTGAGATTGTTTTTAATTGAAGGTTGATAAATGATGAGCTTTGTAGATGGTTCTTAAACATATTTCAACCGTTTCAATTTTAAATAGTGTCTTTTAAAAAATTACAGTATCTGTATGGTTATCTCACAAGGGAAGTTACCCAATTACTCATTTCCCTTGTGGCAATTCGTAAATTTCTCATGCACTTTTTCCCGAGCCTCAATTTTTCTAAAATTCTGAATGCTCAGAAATTTTTAATCAACAAAGTTGGGCTGTTATGTATTCCTCTTGTTATGAAGGATAAGATTGGGTTAATAAACTACATCAGAGTTCAAGACATCTTCTTTTTTGTAAGTTATTTATGAGTGAGCAATCAGAATTATAATTTTTCCAGTATTTCCTGATATCCATGAATGGTGTGTTATTGATTTTTTTACTCCTGTATTTTCCTGTATTAATAAGTTTATGGTGTAAAAAGAAAGAAGTGGAGGCTAGAAAAAAGAATAAACCTCGAACTCTGATTATCTGGCAGACAGTTATAATTCTAGTTTTCAAAGTGGTTAGTCTTAATTTTCTTTAATTTCGAGTACTAAAATTTTTCAGACAAGCATCACAATGATAATCTTGTTTTTGAATGATAGCACCGCGTTTTTTACCGTTGCTGCTATAATAATTATCGACATTATCAGTACTCCATTGATCGTTCAAATTTCCTATTTTATCAATAATCGGAAAAGTGTGAAATTCATGATTTGGAATTTCAGTTTGGCGAATTTCATTAAAGTTGTATTGAATTGGGAAACAAGGTCAGCGGTGGAGCCGGAGAGAACTAATTTAGAAATGACGAATATTTGAGATTCATGTTTGACAGTTAATAAATGAGCAGCTTCGCAGGTGGTTCATAAACATATTCTAGCCTTTACAATTGAAAAAGGATCTTTTAAAAAATTACAGTTTCTCCATTGTTTTCTAAATGTTGACTTATTGACAAATCCATTATGTGAAGATTTTCATAAGTACAACGATAAAATTATGGATAGTGAAGGATTTTTTTTCTCTCTTGCTTTTAAGTCACTCTTTACTGTCTCTTGATGGTTCACGCACGTTCGGCGCACCCAGAAACGCTGTTGGCTGCCAAACTGACATCCAAGGTTCGAACCCTAGCTGGCTAGTTGTATTTGGTTCTGTGTGTAGGCTCTGGAAATGTTCTTTTAATTAAGTTTGATATCGCTCCTCACGTTCTTTTTAATTTCAGATATTTTCAGATTTTCAGATTTCTCTTTTCTTCTGACAATTCTTTCGATCACTAAATTTTTAGAAGTTGGATAAATATTAAGTAAAGTATTACTTTTTATGAGGTTTATGATAATTTTATAATTTGCATAACTCCTTCTCTGTTGTTTTTTTTTTGAAATTCGGACTGTACTCAAACGTGCTAATCAAATTTCCGTTATTTACACTAAAAAACAATTGGATTGTTCGGTACATGTAGGTGGACAAAAAAAGTAAATCAATATTTTTATACATACTATTTTGATTTCTGCTCAAAATTATAGGCTTAGGCTAAAACGCCTTACAGTCTAAGATCCCATGTACCCTCAGAACCAATGTACCCTAAGAACTCGATGTACCCTCGATATACCCTTTTTCGATGTACCCTTGGATCGTGGGCCCCAAATTTGATCTAACATATAAGCCATCTGTTTGCCGCACCTCCGGCGCGATTCAATCTAGTTTTAATAGTTCGTCGCTCCGCTCATCAATGTTCGCATTTTCTGGCCAAAGTTTCATTTAAAACCGAAAAGTCTACAGAGTGACACGAGGACCAACAAACGCGTCTAGCGTTTTATATATAAGGAAGATTGCTAAAATATTATGTTTTGAATGAATAATCATTTAAAGGTGGGGGGGGGGGACAGGAGATTTTTCGTAGTTTTTTTTGTAGCTAGAGTATGCATTCTACCGTCACGGTGTACAACGCTTAATGTCACTCTGCGTACAGCTGTCGTCCTCGCCTTTATGTATGCAATCGGGCGTGCGCTATCTCTTTGCCAGCGTGGCTCAGTCGGTAGCGGCGCCGCACCCTCAATCATCGCCCTCACAAGTTCAACTCCTCGAGGGGCATTTTTGAACGGAATTTCGAGATCTTTATTTTTTCATGTCCCCCCCACCTTTAAATCTTTTGAATTTTTGGTTTGTCTATTATACTGTTTGCCGCGCCTCTCTGCGTTTCATTTTTAAAACTAATTTGCAATTTAGTTTTGATCTCTGAAATGGAAATAAACAATTTTTATTGGGATTCAGACTTGTTAGACCCAATCTTTTTGGGAGAACGGAATGGCATACAAAGAAGAACAGGGACACCACTCCGTTTATGTATATGCAGATGATTATTGATCGGTTGGTACTCTAACCCGTAACTTATTGTTGTTTGGACCCTTCTCCACCACCGTCATTCAGAAAGAGTCTCACAGTGAATGGTTCGTCTCTTCGATGACTCAACGAGAGAGTGAGGGAGGGAGAGAGAGAGTGAGGGACGATGGAAGAGACGGAGAGGAATATCGGTACGTTTTTACCTCTGCCCTTCCCTCTCCTCTCGCTTATTGTTCTAAGACACCATTATAGATTTCTTTCTCATTAGTAGGTTTGCAAAACACCCACCCAATTTTTATACGTATTATCCGTCCAACAGTTTTCTTTGTTTATGAACAATCTGTCTATCACCAACTGATATACTGCAAAGTTTGGAAAACCGATGAAAACTTAAGAAAGTTGATGGTGTATTTTTCATGAATTTCTATTTTTATCATTTTCGCAACATGTCCGCATTTTTTTCAACGCGATATGTTTTCACTGGGTTCCGAGCATCTCTTTTCTCAAATGCTGTCGGAAAAGGCAAAATTTTATTGATAAACCAGACTGTTTCCCGCGCTTCCGGCGCTGCAAACGGCTGGCTGGTGCGCCTACGGCGCACGATCGTCGTTTCGCTCCTCACTTTTCTTGGCACCATTCCAAAACCTAATTACAATCTCTAAAACCTCTTCTTAATCGTCTTTTGGCCTGCCAACCCTAAATTCTTACGGTAGATCACATTTAGTGTGGCGGATTTTTCCTTCGGGAAACTTCCCTCCTGGGAAAAAACGAAATGACATACCAAGAAGAATAGAAGAAAAGAAGAGGACAGCCACCACTCCATTTATTTATTATAAGAATGATGTCTTTTTTTTCTTACTTTTCGCTTTTAAACAGTCTCAAATTTACTTTTTTTTTCCAGAGTCTTCAACTCAGTGCTCACCGTAAAATCGTTTACGCCATGATGTCATCCAAAGAGAACGACAACAAGAACAAGGTTGTCTGTTTAAATGATTTGATTATTGAAAAGATTTTGATTTCAGAGAAAGCAGGGAGATCAACATTCAATGACGACCATCATCCCTCGATTCCAAGCTAGAAGAAAAGAAGTGGATTCTGGAAAGAAACCGTTAGATAAGAAAAAAATTGCTGAACTCTTTACAAAAATTGATCAGAAAGAAATGGCTGGAAATGCATCTGGAAGTGTTCCAGAAGTAAGTAGTTTTTTTTTAAATGAAAGCTTCTTTTGCCCAAAATATGTCGCTCCCAATAACTTACTCTGCCTCTTTTCATTTAACTCATTTCAGGCCCACAAAGATTCGACTAGACCGAGTTTGCTTGACGAATTCCAATCGTGGAACAATGCAGCATCCTCATCAAACCAAATTCCAAACTCAACATCACTGTCTCTATCCACAGATTGCCCATCGTCCTCGGCAATGAACATCACTCGACAGGCCAGCAACAGATGCCGCTCAGCATCACATATTGCAGCGCCTCTGACAGAAGTGAGGCATTTCCGGATGAACACTCCTTTCAATCCCACCCAATCAGAAGCGACTGTTGGAAGAAATGCCGGCGAACATTTGGCGATAAACGCCCCAAGTCATCCAATCGAAATCGAATATGACGCCCCACAAGTAAGTGGTGAAAATAATAGTCTCGTTTGTCTAGAATATGAGAAATATATATCAGAAAATGAGGAGACTATTTCAGGATCCCATCTCTGAAATTTCAGAAAATAGTCATCAAACTGAATTACTTTAGGCACCGACTCCATCTGTCAATATCACACGAACGGATGGGACATCTCCAAACAGCATCGATGACATTGTTGACAGAATCGCCAGAGGTGACGATTCTCGTGTAGGACAAAGTTCTACGAGAAAGATCTCAAGACGAAAACCAATAAGCGTCCCTGCAACGTGGATTGACCAAACTGGAAAAAAAATTGGAGATGCTCAGCGAACCGTTAGAGATCATATAGCTGAGATCCTTGCAAAAAAGAAGTTGCCATCAATTGCGGAAACTGTGAATCTGGGTGCAGGAAATATGGGGAATCAAGAGACTCAACCTACGTCACTCTCCAGCGATGCTAGGAGAAATTCATCGGATTCTACTGTCAACAGCCGCTCTACATCACAGAGTGTAGCCCAACCGGAAGTGAGACACCTAAATTCTGAAAAATTCGAATCAATATAATTCAGGTTTTCGCAACATCTTCAAATGACGGAAATTCCTTGTTGTTGGAAATTGTCGAAGATACTGGTGTGGAAGACAATTTCCGGATGAACACTCCAATCGGAATGTATAATGAATTTCCACAAGTTGTGAAAAATTATTGCTTGCCAATAGTATGAGAAATACGATTTTTTTTCAGGATATCTTCTCTGTATCCGATTATTCCCACTCACCAGCACCAAGAAGAGACGATCAGCCTTCAACCAGCGAATGGGTACGATTCATTTTTTCAAACAGAAGTCTTATTTTTCTAAATATTAGAAATATGATCATTTCAGTATCCAACCTCTGAAGCTCTCGATTCCCACTCCTTCGCACCAGCAATTATTGGATACAATCGCCCTTCCAGCAGCTCTCAGGTACATTCTTTTTTAAAAAGTGCGCTGATTCGGGAATGTTTGGAGTTGCTTTTTCAAAATTTTGCGGAATGTCGAAAATTCCGATTTTCAAAATTTAGAAACTAGGGAATATTGGAATATTCTTTCGTAGACCGAAAAATTCTAATTCTCAAAAAAAAAGTTTGAAAAAAAATATCGGAAATATTACATTCGGAATTTCAAATTCTATTCCTAACTAGCGCTGATAACAAACGAAATCATTAATTGTTTCTTAAAGGTGGGGGGAAAAAAATAATGTTCTCGAAATTCCGTTCAAAGATGCCCCTCGAGGAGTTGAACTTGTGAGGGCGATGATTGAGGGTGCGGCGCCGCTACCGACTGAGCCACGCGGGCAAAGAGAAAGCGCACGCCCGATTGCATACATAAAGGCGAGGACGACAGCTGTACGCAGAGTAACATTAAGCGTTGTACACCGTGACGGTAGAATGCATACTCTAGCTACAAAAAAAATTCGAAAAATCTCCTGTCCCCCCACCTTTAATGAATACGAAATACCTTTTGTAGATATCTTCATACTCACTGCCAAATTTGATCCCAACTGATGGGGCGACCCGTAAGTTTTTTTTTGTTGAAAAATCTGAAGAAAAAAACGCTTAAATAAAATTCAGATCAAACAACACTCTCAATTGTTCCACCGCCGAGAATGATAGAATCAATAATGAAAAAAGTATCAAATGAGATGAAAGAGCGCGAGGAGAGTGGAAGCCTTGATTTTGGTCCAATTCGAGTCAAATTAACGGCCACAGGGAAAGAGTTGGATGATTCGAGTAAGAATGCCGAATTCAAATCATTATTTTATTCATCTTAATTTCAGTTTCATTCCTCAATAATCTGAGAGCCCAGCTGGAGTCTGCGAAGCAAGCAGGATCTTATCAGCAGCTTTAAAAGCATCATGCAATCACCTTGTTATGCTAAATTCAATTTCTTTGATCTCTCTGCTTTCACATCTACCCTCTTTTTCAGATTTATTTTAGGCTACTTTCTTCGTTTAATTTTCTCATTGCCTTTCATTGTCCACAAGTCTTTTTTTAACCAATAATTGCAAATCTGAATTCTGTAACCCGCAAACGTTTTCATGTACCATCCTTCATTTCAATATTTTCTTTTTTTCTTTATAATATACGGTCTCCCAAAGGGAAAATTTTTGAAGAAGTACTCTCGTTGTTAAAAAAAACAGTTTGCTGCGTTACTGAAGACTTCAGCTATCACCTGCACAAAATTTTTTGAAAATTGGAGCATTTTGAGCAAAGTTATGAGTCAATGAAAACCGAATTGATAAAAACTGGTGTCATTCAATCGTATATAACTCCAAAAGTTTCTCAACGAAAATTACAGTTTTTCTGTTGTTTTTTGAAATTCGGACTGTACTCAAACGTGCTAATCAAACTTTCGTTATGTACACTAAAAATCAATAAATGCAATTCACCGTAAACAATCTAGAAGAAGGCCACCCTACACTTGCACTTCGAGCTCAATTATATCGGTTCCTATAAGAGATATCAAAAATCTGCATTTTATCATTTGACAGATTTTTATCATCTTTCATAAAAACTGAGATAATTGAGGTTTAAGTGCGATTATGGGATGGCCTTCTAATAGATTGTTCCCGGTATTTTTTCATAATTTCGATATATCAGATTCTCAAATTTAATTTTGATTTTTTAATGAAGAAAACCCACCAAGCTTCCGAAAATTTATTTTCATGAGTTTGATAATTTTTTTTCTCAAATTTGTTCGACTTAACAAAATGTTTTCTTTTGAAATTTCTTTCCGGTTTCAAACAGTTCAAAATTATCAAATTCAGTGCAAAAACTGATCAAAAAATCCGCTACAGGTATGTAGCACAGAAATGACATCGGTGGGCCGCGCAACTCCCGTCACCGTAGCTCAGCTGGTAGCGATGCTGCATCTTCATCGGTGGGCCCACAAGTTCAACTCCTCGAGGGGCTTACATGAACAAACTTTCAGGAAAATTATGTTTTCTGATCAATTTGAAAACCCGAGTACATTCTTTTTAAAAAATTCACTTCCAATATATAATTCTTAAAAATGGGCGGACAGGTGGAATAAAGTAATTTATACAAAAAACTACTGTTTCAATTTATTTTTCGATAATTGAAATACATATTTTATTATTAGCATTCCTTGGAAATGAACACTTCTGATTTTTTGAGCCCGGAAGATTTCATAAAACAATTTATATAATTTTCGCGGCCAAGGAAATTGTGATTTTTATTTGGTTGTTGGTTTCTGGATTGGTTGATTATGAAGACAATTTTGAAGATGATTTGAAAACTGGGGGTTATGTGGTAGGTTAAATAATTTTTTATGCAGTTTTAACGTCCCCCAAACGTTTTTGTTTTGTCTGAAAATTTTAGAGTATACTAAACAAAAATATATCTTTAATTTTGTAGATGACAAAATTTTTGTACAAATTAGGCCAAGCGAGATAAGCTGTTTTGAAGTGGCACAATCTAAATTTCAATGCTGATTTGAGTAGAAACGGCACGTCTTATCAGAACGGAATTAGGCAAAAAAGTTGTCGACTACAAAATTGAAGATCTATCTTTGTTTAGTATACTCTGAAATTTTTAGATAAATCGAAAAATTCTAAAATTCTTTTGTAGCGTTCCAGAGTTGGTTGTTTAACAAAAAAAATGCCAAAAAATGTTTTTAATGTAGAAGTCCCATTTTCGTACCACTTAAAAATACAGACTATATTTCTCTAAACCCGAAAAATATGATTTTTTGCGGGGAACTGGAACAAATTGTCTAATTTTTTTGCGGTTTCAAATATTAATTTTTATGTGTCGATAATTTCGAAAAACAATTTCATCTTCCGAAATGTGATACATACAATAAATTCTGAAAGTCCAAATTTCACTATTTGGAAATGTTTTCTAAACTCAGAACTTTCAATTATCTCAGAAATTGGAAAAATTTGCAAATTTGAATAAAAAATGAACTTGTAAAGTTCTAAACAAACTCAAAACTTCAAAAACGGAAAAAGTGAATTTTGTTTTTTGCATTCCTGCTTTTTTGAAAATTAGAATATAAGAAGGAGCGATTTTCAAAATTTTCAATTTTCATCCCAAATCACTTCGATTTCCAAAATTTCTGTGAAGTTTCAGTAAAATCACGTGAATTTCCAAAATCCCAGAACTCGAACCGTTCGAGTTCTGTGAAAAATCCCAGAAATTGCAACGTTCAATTTCTGTGAATCACGTAAAATTTCCAAATTCCCAGAAATTTTGGAAATCGAAGTGATTTGGGATGAAAATTGAAAATTTTGAAAATCGCTCCTTCTTATATGTTAAACTTTTGAAATTAAAACAATACTTACATATAAATTTCAAAAAATAAAAATATGAATCTTCAGTTCTCTATCATCTTCATCAACATCCTGCTAATCACATCCTCATTTCTTTACATTCCAATTATGATAAATGTCAAAAAGTTCTCATATCTCCCAATGGCTCTGAAATCGAAACCACATAAATATATTTTTTGGCAAACTATGACAGTTTTGATTTTGAAATCAGTGAGCTGCTTTTTTTAGGTTACGGTATGCATTCCGAGGTGAAGGTGTGCAGTAATTGGTGTTTGCAATAGCGTGCACTACCGTAGCTTTCTTTAATTTCCTAATTAACAAATAATTTAGTAAATTCCAGATTTGCCTCATAATTGAACTAATTATGTGGTTATGTGGCACACCAATATCTTCAATTGCTATTATCATCGTATAATAAGTGAGATGAATAGGAAATAGAATGACAATGTGGGATTAAAAGGGCGGGGAACAGTAGAAGAGATCAACAAAAAAGGCTAGAAAACGCAATAAAATGGCTATAAAAAGCAACAAAATGGCTAGAAAAAGCAACAAAATGGCTAGAAAAAGCAACAAAATGGCTAGAAAAAGCAACAAAGTCATGATCAACTAAGAACACACGAGACACATTATGATTTAATTTAATAACCTCTTATTTGAGACAGATGAAACCGGCATGAGGTGGATCAGGAGCGGAGAAATCGATCGGCTCCCTAAAAAAATTTTTCTATGTTCCAATTAAATTAAATTAAACTCACTCTTCAGCATTTTCTCCTAGTTTGTCTAACTGCTCTTTTAAAATCATGGCCAACTTCTGAGGTGTGGAACTCATTTTTTCGTTGTATTTTTTCCGGAAGCGATCACTGTAAATATACATGTGGCGAAGTAATATAACGCGATAACTCACAGTAAATGCGAGAGAACATTCTTAGCCAAAAATGTCACATTTGTCTCGATTTTTGGATCGAAGCCTTGATTGAAACCAGCGATCGGGTATTTTGAAAAGATACTGCTTTATGTACCTTCCGTGGTTGAAAAGCAACATTGATACTTACTGATTATTTTCCTATAGAAATCTTTTCCCATCGGGTGATATCCTTGAGTTGACGTCCCCGCTGCTGCAAATGCTCCAAAGAAGGGATCATGCAATGCAACCTGAAATGGTTTATTTCACAATAGCTAGAATGAAGAGAAACATACTTTTTTGAAAAAATGCAAAAAAAGGTTTTTGCAGTGCACAGTAAAATTTGATGTTTGATGAAGTCCAACAACAAGCTTCTTGTGGTGTGATAACCTGAGCCATTTCGAAAGTCTTTTTGCTTGGCAAAACAATCGTCCCGTTGAATTTAGCAGCCAAAACCATATTGAATCCAAAACCTTTTACAATTGTCTCCTAAAAATAAATTCAAATGACGCTGTTATTGTAAGCTCACTCTCATCGGCTTCAGTTACTGACTTCTTTGGTTCTCTCTTATTAGCGTTAGCTGTGATAACAGCCATTCCAACAGCCAGGCGTTCCAGATTCTCGTCTTTCCCATGGAAATTCGAAGCAATATCCAAAAATGTGTAGTAATCAAAAGGCTTCGGGTTTTTGACGAGTTTCAGGATGTTCTCCAAGGAAACTTTGAAATCTCAAAAAACACATTGTTTTCCTTACATCACGTGGTAATGGGACACCATTTACAAAGTCATAGAAGTTGTTCATACCAAAGCCAACTGGATCCCACTGACCATTTGAGGACGACGTCAGGACACTCATAGGAATACCTGACATTTCGTCTGCTTTGGAAGCTGTAATTGTATTTACAGAAACTATGTTACATTTCCAAGTTACCAGTTTATTGGAACTATTGGTTGACTGGTGGGAGAAGTCACGAGAGTTACCGAGGAACTCTTCTGTTTCTCCGGAGAGCTGGGCATCAAAATCATCATTTCTGGGCAATAGAAATTGAGGTTTAATTTCAATAGAGCGATGAGGAGTCGCTAGATATGGAACGGGTTTTCTTTCAATCATTGGAGAAACGATCATAACTTTGCTTGGAGGGGACATAACTTCTGGAAAATTTTGCGAATTTTCTCCATCTCTCTGTAAAAAACACGTTAATAGCTATATAACAAAATGATCACTTACGATTAATGGAAATCGCATTCGCTTCAAATCGGTGAAAGATTTTTCGTGGGATTCCAAATTAGACGAAATTTTCGTGACATCTTCAGAATCTTCTAACGCAGGTGATTTCACCGAAACGGCCGGGGACTTTTTGTCTTTCGGCGGGTTCTTTTTTTGACGAACCATCGATTTCTACGGTTACGACTTGTTGCAATAAGTCATAAAAGTAGGCCTAAAAAAATTGTGACTGCCCGTTCAGGACTTCTGCATCGATCTGATTTGGAGAATCCACCGGATTTCTCATCGTTTCCTTTCTAGGAACAAGCCCTTTGGTATGTGATAGAAACTGAGCTAACTTCTTTGAAGGGTTTTTGGACCTTTTAGCGATTTCATGTGTCACAGCGTTGTGTAGAAGAACCCTGCATGGTATCTTTTTATTAATATTTGAAAGATCTCATTTACCGGGAGCTGGCACTCTCACAGAAGTTTTTCTTTAGTCGACTACTGTATCCCATCAAGACAAACTGGTATGAGCTCTCAAACGAAAACGTGGAGATTGGACCCACATTTCGATACATCTTGTTGGACTCCGCAAGATGATACAAATATTCCTGCAACGCATTCCCAAACTCACTATATTCGAGAAGGGATTCTTACGTGGCATTAAGAAGACAAGTATTCTGTACTGGCCTCTTGAATGAACCAATTCGCTGCTGCGGTCATTTGGATGTCAAAAACACCTCTAGCGTTTGCATTGGTGAACATTCGATTCACGGTCATTGCAAGGGCTATAATAGTAAACCTTCCTTTAGGACCGATCACGTCAGAATGGATGGCAACAGATGAGAGCACACAACGGAATTTCTGAAAAGGGAATTCAGACTTTCAAAGTTTATTTCCTTACCGTAAGCTTATCAGTTCCATTCCGGTTCTTGTGGACATTTGAGAGCTCAGATGGTAGAATTACTGTAGTCATTTCTGTCTCAACTCTGGAAGAATCAGCAACAAATAATTGCGATTTTACTGATAACTTAGTTCGTTGGCTCATGAGTTCTGATAATTGTTATATGTTTTCATGGTACACTTTCCTAGACAAACCTCTCATGATTCTTTCACAAATACCTTCTCCAAGGTTATGAAGCAAATCTAGCGGTGTTTCGTATGGCATCATACGAGAAATAATGAGTGCTGGAGTAGACCCAAATCCATAAGTGCAATTTCGAGAATCTTCTATTGTTTGCCTGTATCCACGTACTTCAGAGTGTCTTAAAATAATTTCATCCAAATATGTTTTCATAGCATTTACAACCTCTTCCCTGCAATTTATAGAATGTTCCAGGAGAAACACAAAAGAAACAAGCGCATGAACACTGATGAGCTTTCATTCCGAATACACTCCGTTTTGCCTAAATTTGTAAACGTTATAACAGAAGCATTTATTGGATTCATCTTACTGGTTGATCGCCAACAAACGTTACCAGATGGAGTTGGTATCCGAGTGTACCAATAGCTCTTTTTTGACTTTCGAAATCGCTGAAAATCATGGGAATTATACTGGTCCAAAGTGCAGTAGACGGATTCGCATTTCCTTCAACAATCCCTTCCAGAATAATGTTAGAACTCTTCTGCATGTCAGCCGTGCTAAGATCCACAATCATAACAGACACCGGCCATAGCTTCCTAAACAGTTAAGAGTTATCATATCACAAAGTAAAACTATTACTTCGTAGATCCTGGTACACTGACTCCATCAACTGACAAGATTCCAGACAGATGGAGATGTTGGGAACTAGGTGTTTCTTGCTGCCAAACTCTTCTAAAAATTGGAGCTCCCAGATTGTGCATTTTCTCCTCTCCCCTTCTCAAATTCTCCCTTCTTTGCAAAACGTCTTCTATGTGGTACTGCATGATTTCTTTCAGCTGAGGCATAATGCCATTTCTTACAAACTTCATGGGGTCTTTTCCACAACTAAATAGAAATTGTTTCTATTAATTTCTTACAAAATGATTTACCTTTTTTTTCGGTCCAGTTTTCTTCCCACAATTATTACAGAAGTGATGAAGGCTATAGGCGTTGCTTTTCACATTCCATAGGTCTTTCACCTTTCTTGCGAACTCCTCATCGTGCGATGACAAGAACCTTTGCACTCCTACAAACAAATTATGAACTAAACTTAAAATAATTCAATATACCTTCTTCCGAAACTTTGGAGATGCAACAACTAGCAATAAATTGAAGAACGTCGTCCGAAGCACTTCTCACTCGTTCAACAACATGTAGAAAGTTTCATTTCTTAAAGGGGACTCCGACCAAAAATTTTTATTGCATTAAAATGTGTTAAAAGTTATCTATTTTCCGAATATTATTGCGAAAAAAATCAAAAAAAATCCGAAATCCCCGAAAAACGCCGTTGAAAAGGAAGAAAATTCAAAAAAAGGTGCCGCCGGGGGACGAGGATTTTCAGCGAGAAACGTAGACCGCGGCAC